CACACGCTTTTTGTTCAGGTCAAAAGTGGTAGGTCTCGGGGTAGGGGGAGGGTTGGGGGATTTTTCTGGGGACGAGATTTTTTTTTTTTTTCCTCTCTCTCTCTCTCCCCCCGAGTTCCGAGAAGAAAGTGCTTTTCGAAAGCCTCCAGTGGTGGGCGCTTACAAGCAGAAGTTCTGGGAGAGGCGGTGAGCCAGTTGGGTGGCGATCGGGAGTCCTTGCGGCTGAAGCGTGCAGGCGTGGGTCTGAGCTCAGCCGCCGCTCCCAGGCTGCCTTTCCACCTGAGCCACCCGTCCACGTGATCACGGGGGTTGACAAGACATTTTTCCAACTCGGTCGCGTCAGGAACAGGTTAATCAAAGTCCTTGTTTTCTGGGGCTAGGGTATCTGTGTATGTGTGTGATCGTGTTCCTAAATCGAGCGTCGCTTCGAAGGTACAAGTAGATTCTCCACTGTTCAGAATGTATTTCCGTACAGTATGTGTTGTATCGCTGCCGCCACATTTTTCCCTTTGACACTGGAATCTGAAAAGCGTTCCAAGCATTTATTTTTTTTTCTTTTTTGAGATAAGGTTTGGCAAGGTAGCCCAGGATCGATCGGTTGGACGTAATTCTCCTGCCTTGGGGAATCCTAAATTCTGAGGGGCATGAGCCACCGAACCTGGTTTTGTGTTCTGAAGACCACTTAGAATTGATTTCTTGAACCGAAGTTCCAGGCACCCTGAAGGAGATTTGGAGAAACGATGTAGTTCTTAAGATAACTTTAAAGCAACCATGGTTTTAAAAAAGGTGTAAGATAGCTTCTCTGGAACTTTGTCACCTCAAATGGATGTGATCTGGAGAGAAGTAGAGAGAGGATGGAGGTGCAAGAGTCTGAAGCCTGAATGATGGCTGGTCGTTCCCCGGAACCCTAAAACTTCCCTTTTGAATCACTTGCTGCTATCTCCTGAAGTCTCAGTAATACTGAGTGGCATTAGGGGCTACTCGGGGTTTCTTCCTCTTAAAGAAACAGATGGAAGTAAAATAGAAAAGAGGTGTGAAATGCCTTTCCAGAGATTAATAAATCCTACAGTACAGTGTTGGTTATAGCAACTTACACCCATTTTAACAGCAGTATTTCTCTATTGACACCAAAGTTTTACAGGGTGTGGTTGCCTATATTCCCAGCACTTCCAGAGGCTGGATCAGGAGTTGGAGGCTAACCTGGACCTGGCCTACATAGTAAGACCCTTTTTTCAAAAAACAAGACTCGGGGCTAGAGACATGGCTCTGTGGTTAAGGGCACTTGCTTTTCTTCCAGAGGAACTGAATTTGACTCCTAGCACCCATACATACCAGGCAGCTCACAACTGCCTGCAGCTCCAGTTCCAGGGAACTCGTGTGCACATACCCCTCCCCCCACATAAATACATAATTAGAACTAATTTAAAAAAGCAAAATCTCAGTTTTCATGATACTAAATTCTTCCAGTTTCTAACATCATGCTTACTGTTTTGAACCAGTGAAGGTGACAGGAGCATCATTGTCAGAAAAGAGAACCCGTTTTTAACCCTGGAATAAACATAGCTTCTTGACTGTGTTCGTTCACGTTCTGTAGGCCACGGTGTGGGTGTGTGTGGGGTGTGTGTGTGTGTGTGTGTGTGTGGGGTGTGTGTGTGTGTGTGTGTGTGTGGGGTGTGTGTGTGTGTGTGTGTGTGTGGTTTTCTGTAGGCCAGTCTGGCTTCAGAGATCTGCTCCTAGTGCTAGAATTAATGGCATGTATCACCATGTTGGCTGTTTTTTGTTTTGAATTGATTTTTTTTGTTTTGTTTTTGTTTTTGTTTTTCTAGATTCTCTCAACTTTTGGTCCAGGACTGGCCTTAGCTTTCTATCCTGCTGCTCCAGCCTCTCTACCAATGTTAAGATTAACAGGCCTGTGCCACCATACCAGGTTTTTGACCTTGTAGGTTTTGTTTTCTGAAAACAGGGTCTCACCTTGTAGCACTGGCTGACTTACAACTCTAAACCAGGCTGGCCTGGAACTCTTACAGATGTGCCCACATCTGCCTCCACATCTGCCCATGGCCTTGCGTTTTGATTTCATGGTAGCTGCTGAATTTTGTACCCTCTTGCTTCCTCATTCTCCACGTTTGTCAGTTTCTGGTGCAATCAGGGTCCATCTTCACAGTGTCCAAGTGTTCCTTGTAACACCATTTTTTATTTTCTAACAATTCAGGAAAAAATGTTGCTGTCCTTTTTTGGGGGGAGGGGTCTTCTTTAGCTGGGACAGCCTAAAGGAGGGGAGGGAGACTGGGACATTTGAAATGCTAAAAAACACTTTTTTAGGCTGCAGTCTTTTGGGGGATGAATATGTGAAATATGTACTTCAGAGTTCACTTTGGTCTCTGGTGTTCTCTTGATAGTTTCTTGTGGCCTTATTAACTTGTATCTACTTTTCCTTAAAGTGGGAATGCCTCTTTCTTTCTTTCTTTCTTTCTTTCTTTCTTTCTTCCTTCCTTCCTTCCTTTCTTATTAACTTGTATCTACTTTTCCTTAAAGTAGGAATGCCTTTTCTTCCTTCCTTCCTTTCTTTCTTTCTTTCTTTCTTTCTTTCTTCCTTCCTTTCTTATTAACTTGTATCTACTTTTCCTTAAAGTAGGAATGCCTTTTCTTCCTTCCTTCCTTTCTTTCTTTCTTTCTTTCTTTCTTTCTTCCTTCCTTTCTTAAGCCCTGGCTGTCTTGGAACTCAGCTCTGTAGACCAGGCTGGTCTGGAACTCAGAGATCCACCTGCCTCTGCCTCCCAAGTGCTGGGTGGAATGCTATGCTCTTTATAAAAATTCAACCTGTACTAAAGTACATAAAATACAAAACTAGGAAGTTGTTCTGACTCCCACTCCCCAGAGATAATCACTGTGAACAATCCATTCCGTGTTGTAAAATATGAAGGCAGTATCCGAGCATCTTGCTGCTATGTGTGCCTCACTCTGGCCTGTTCCCATTCATACGCTCATGTTCTTTTTTCATAACTTAGATTGGGTAGAATTGTCAGATACAGGGAAAGGAGGGAAGGTTTTTGCATTGAGCTCATGTCAAATCCTATGATTTGGTAACAGATGTGTAAGTTTTTATGTTTAATAGAGCTGCTGTTTTAGTTTAGTCCTCATGAAGTTTACTTTGGTGGGCTTCTTCTCATTCTTTGCAAATGTTGCAGCCCTTAATCTGATTAATGTATGCAGCCTAACCTCATTAAGACAAACCCTTCATGTGTAGAGAGCTTCCTAGCTTACCATAGAGAATAAGTGGGTATAATTGTCTCTAAAACCAGTGCGGATATATCCCTTTGCCTTTTTGTTTTGGTGTGTGTGGGTTCCTCTTGATCAGTAGCCAGAGCTGCAAGAGAAACATGATTGGAAGGAAATCCTAAAGGGGGGCGGGCAATAGTGACGGTGTTGTTTTAGGTTATCGCATTGAAAGGACTAACAGTTGGGGGGGGGCAAGGACGCTGGCTTGAATTTCACTCTCATTTGGCGTCTCATATATTTAAGGTGGGTTTCTAAGTCTACTGATACTTTGTCCTGTGTAGTCTTTCACGAAGGATGAGCTGTGAAGTTGGTTTTCTAATAAAGCCCCAAAAACAATACATGCAAATTTAATCACAGTAGTTACTTGAGAGTGTTGAGGACATGATTTTTTAAAACACTGCTGTGTGAATATAAATTGTTCTCAATCATATTTCAAGGCTGGCGGTATAGCTTAGTGGTAGAATGCTCGCCTATCATGCATGAGGCCCTAGGTTCAATCCTTTGCACTGCAAAATGTGATAATTAAAAATTAAACAAAGAGTGTGGGGGTGAGTGACTCAGAAGGCAGAGGCAAGTGGATTTCCCATAGGTTCAAGGCCAGCCTGATATATACATAGTTCCAGGCCAGCCAAGGCTGTGTAGTGAGACCCTGCCCCCCTCCAAAAACAAAAAAACAAAACAAAACAAAAAAAACCACAAACAACTAATAAATTACTGATTATATTTTCTTTTAGTTTTCTCTATGAGATGCATGCTCACTGAAAAGCTCCTTCCCACTTGAAATTGCCAGCAGTAGAGGTGGGATGGGTGGTCAGCAGATGGAAAGGGAGATAGGGAGCAGGGGGTGCATTCTGCCTGCCTGCAAGATAAGACAGTGCAAGAATGATAGGAGTTTTACAGTGATGGAAAGTGACTGTGGGAGGCTTAGAATGTTCCAGACTTCACTTACTTAATAATCATACCCAGAAAGTGTTGTCTGGATTACAAAAACTGAAACACTGCATTTTGAATCAAGAGTTAGTGTTTTGGCCCCATTTTCTGTTTACAGGATGAAGGTGTTAACTACCACACCTGTTTTCTTCATTCACAAAATAAGGATAATTTAAAACCTATCTCAGGGCATCACGAGAATCCATTGACTAATGTATGAAAAAGGCCCTGTAGATTGTCAACAACTATTTTAGTTTCAGCGATAGCCAAAGCAAAAACTAATGAGCAAAATAAGACTTTCCTGCTTCAACATTTTATTCCTTGAAAAACTCATTAAATGTATCGATTACAACCTCTAGCTTCTAGTAGTTACTCATGACTGACAGGACACCTTGGTCTCAAGGACCTTACACTAAAACAAGAATGACTGATGCAACTTCCAGTTTGGATGACCCAACATTTGTCTCCCTGGTGTTAGGCTTTTGCAGCCCAGAAAAGAGGTGCCTGCCTCATTGTGGGTCACAAAGGGTTCCCTAGAGATGTGTGTGTAAAATAAGGAAAACTTTCACTTTCCAAGTGTTTGGGTTGGGGAATTATTAAAGGTTTAAAAATGGAATTATGCTTAATAGATAATTTTATTGGTTTTATTTCATTTATTTTAATTAAATAAAAGTTTGAAGTTTTGCCAGGTGTGGTGGTACACACCTTTAATTCCAGCACTCAGGAGGCAGAAGCAGGCAGATCTCTGGAGGCCAGCCTGTTCTACATAGTGAGACGCTGTCTCAAAAAAAAAAAAAAAAATTGGAGTTTTCATAATTTTGGTTAGAACTAAACAGAAACCACTCGGGGTGCAGAACTTGAAACAGTATACTTTATAAAACTTACAGGATCTGCTGGAAGAAGGAAAATGACCGGTCACTGTGGGAAGAGCTGCCTGGCAGGATATTAGCAGCATTTACTGAATACTTAAGTTCTGAAATAAAGAATCAACTAACAGTCTGAATCCGGTTGCTCACAATTACAGCAGACAGTGCACACAGCAAATAGTTTGGAATAAGTAGAGACTTATACCACAAACCCTAACAATATAGATGCTATGTGCTAAGGGGGACCAACTTTGGCTACCTACAGTGCCCTCTG